GGCCGCCGGTTTGGATGAGTGTGCCGTCTGCGACGGCGGAGCCGGAGGAGCACCAGACGTCGGTTTGGATGAAGAGGGCACGGAAGGTGTTGGATGCGACGTCGTATTCGACTGCGTGAGCGGAGCAGTCTTTTTTGAGAGCCATCTCGGTGGGGTCGTAGCGACACTTGCCACTGGGAAGGGTTAGGTTGGATAGGCCGAAGTCGGTGCGGTCGTAGATGATGACTCGGTCGTTGTTCAGAAGCTGCATGTGCATGGCCACTACGCCTATGCTCTTTTGTAGGAGCTGCCACTGGCCGTTGGAAGCTCCCGAGAGGAGGAAGAAGATGGAAGGTAGAAGAGAAACAAGAAGAAGAAAAGTTGACTTATTCATACTTTTTTTTAATTCTCTTGGATTGGATGAATTAATGTGGTGAAGATGATGAATGGAATGGGTGTTGTAAGCTGTTGCATGCACTGGTTTAAATACTGCTGCACTGCACTCTTTCTCTATGTGCGTGCACCACTTGCAATCTTGCATTATGCTTTTCCCATATTCGAAGGATACTGTTCGCACCCTATTTAATTCCACGCATTGTTTAAGGTTGCTTTAATTAGTAATTCTTCCCCCCTTTTAATCGTCTAAAGTTATTGCTTAACTTATTTCACTCCTAACTAATTAATGTCGTCTTAACTTAATTTCTTACGCTATATATTTTACGCAAGATAAATAGATAAAATAAAATTATAATTTTATAAAATTACTTTCTTCACTATAACAAAATGCAACACATTTTATTAAGAGATAAAACTTTTAAAAGGATTTTAGTACTTTAAATCATTAATTCTTAATTTTTAAGTATAAAATATCTTAATTCAAAAAATATGATAGAACATAATAATCACTCTTAAATAATATTAAAAATATAGATAAAAAAATAGGAACAGTAGAAAAGTTAAATTACACATTTTAATTTTTTCCCCTATCATAATACTCAACGAGGGATGGACGGAATTGTCAATTTATTTTTATTCAGATCTCGCACTCTCGCTAACTAGTACTCTAAAGAAGCAACAACAGTTCGTATTTTTTTTTTTAAATTATAATAAAGTTACACATATGAATATTAAATACATTTCTATTTTTTTTCTTCATTTTTTACTCCTTGATTACTAGTTCAATTAGTGTTTTAGCCTTTATTAACATTATCAAGATAACTGTTGACAACGTACATCAATAATATGCTTGGTGAACGAGTAGAACTTGGATTTGTAGTGTGATTTATTGCTGACTTACGAAAATTGAAGCCTGTTTCGTAGGAAAGAGGCTTACTTGGTAATATCTAACTAGCATTAGAAAGAAAACATACCGAAAATATTTGTTCACAGAGTCCATTAGTCAAACTGAAACTTTCTTTACTCTGCAGATTTTAGGAAAATATCCTAAATTCTAAGGTTAATGTCATATATGGGCTTTAGTCGAAATTTTCTTGAGGCTTTACTTCTCTGTATTTTCAAATACGGATTCCTCATTTACTTGATGTACCACTCTATTCTCGAGTCTTGACTTTAATGTTTTATTCCCCGTAACTATGGTGTTGCAGTGCCTCCGAGTGGAAGGTGCCCACCACTTTCATATATGGTTTCCAAGACTGGATGAATTATGAAGGTGCCCGAGAAGCTCGGAAGCATATGAAGGTTCCATGTGAAATCATCAGGGTTCCTCAGGTATATATTTTCCCATTTCCCCTAATATGGAGATATTTTTTAATATTATTAAAACTAAAAATAGTTACTTGTTGCACAGGCTGGGCACTTTGCGTTCATTGACAACCCAACTGCCTTCCATTCCGCTGTTTTTTATGCTTGTCGAAGGTTTCTTACACCAAACAATGAATCTCTTCCTGAAGGGCTAACCTCTGCATAGGTTGGGTCTTAATTTTGTGCCCATCCTGTCTATATTTTGTTTTTGTCTATTTAAATTTCATAGTTGAATTGTTTCATTAAACTGGAAGAGGAATGTTTATAAATTACAGCCAATATTAGAAATAGTATTAGAAGAGTGTTGGTTAACATTCTTCTTTAGTGGAAATATTTGTAATAGCAATTTCAACAAAAACGAGTTATAGGGGAAATTTCACAACTGAAATTTGTTATGGTTAAAGCTTGGTGCGCTTGTGATAAATTTATGTCGTGAAGGCAATTTTAGGATGTTGTGCTATATGAGAAAATAATTTTGACGAGAAAATATCCTCTGATATTAGAGGACCCTGACCCTCAGTCACAATTCTCAGGAGTTGCCCTTACTTTTCCTGGTTAATAAGTTACAGTTTTTTACCCTTTTCCCCAACTCGTTTCATTGAAGAAAAAGAAATGTCCCAATCAAGAAAGAAATGGGTACTGCGGCAATGCTTTCAGTTCAGGTGCGAAAGCAACTATACCAGCCACTGAGGCACTTGTGTAACCATGGGTAAATGGATATCTTATATTATATAAACTCCTACTCACAAGCTTGGACTGACTTCACTAAGATTTAAAAAAGCAATGGCAGCCACCTGGTTTCCCTGTACTTTTCACCCCATTGAATGGAAAAATGAAAACGACCCATCGTTTACTGCACTAAATACGACGAGTGACTGAGTCTGGCAAGTGCAGAAGTGCATGAGCTATTAATTTCCGGGTTTTTGGTTGTGGGCCATTAGACGTTGGGACTATCATACAACTTAAATTGAATTGAATTCATAGCAATACATTAATGCAGGCTTTTGTTCTTGGTCATGCAATGCAACCTATGCCATCGTATTTATTTTATCACACAAGCAAAGCAACATAAAATCCTTCCGTCTTTTCCAATTCAACTGTTAGTGCTGGGAATTGGATTCCTTTTTTATTGTCACATATTGGGACCCATCACATACATAACATTTTTCGTGCCAATATATAATTGCTTCACAAAATTAGTGCGGGTGAGACAACGCGCTAGGGCCCACCTTCTGCTCAAAATACCCAGAACAGAACCCAATCACGCCCTTATCAAAATCGAACGCAGTATTTTAGTCTATTTTTCACCAACATTATATAAAATGAAATGATGGTGACGTAACGTTCTACTTCTACTCCCTCCAATTCTAAATATTAATAAAAAAAATTACATTAATCATAAGTTGTGAGCATAATTTAATTGCATCAATCTTATTGTAAAAAATAATATACCAAACGAAAAATCTTATTTAAAAAATAAATATTTTAAAAATTATCTATTATTGAAATTTGATAACAAGAATAACATACCCATTAAGAATAAACATTAATTAATACTATTTTGATTATAATATTACTAAACAAAATAAAACACGTTGAAATTTATTTATATTTGAAACTTGTACATGATTTTTGGTTTTATTCTACGCAAAGTTGGGAAGGAGTTTTCCTTTAATGTATAAACAATGATGGAAACCTATTAATTATAAATATCCTACCAACATGTATTATTTTTCTTTATCCTTCTTCCCATTACATCAAATCACTTACCATACTTATTTTTATTTTTATTTTTTATCTTTCTAAGCGTCTAATAGCATATAAGTGTCCATAATTCATTTTTGTTCTCCTTTACCTTCGGACCTCAGTTCTCATCATCAAAGCGTTAAATTACCTAAAGAGAGATTCAATAAATATATATATATATATATATATATATATATATATATGTATTAG